ATAAAAACTTTTTTCAAACTAAGAGCCAGTTTCAGAATCTACATTGTCAAGTTATATATCTCAACATCTTTTCTTGGTTGCAGGTTCCTCAAAAAGAGATTGATTGGTGTCATTTGACGTTCTCTGTTGCACTTTTGACATCATAATCAAAACTTACTGAAAAAATTGAAGTGAAAAAAGTATTTTACATTTAAAATATCATCTTTGGGGCCAGATAAGATGTTAACGAGGGCTACATTTGGCCTCCAGGCCTTGAGCTTGACATAGCGTGTGTTGGGTAGTCTAATTGAGTCACAAGGACCGGTGGGTCGTCGTGAGACATGTATTGGGCAGCTATGAGAGTGATCGGGTGTGACGAGGCTAAATGTTTTGGCAACATGAAGCTCGTTAGCTCATCCAAAAAAAAAAAAAACATAAGTTAGCCGCATCATTGTATAAGCCGCGGTGTTCAAAGCATGTGGAAAAAGTAGCGGCTTATAGTCTGGAAATTACGGTAAATGCTGACCAGGATTGATTTGATGTGTTATCTTGTTTTTCTGTACAACTGGCATGTCTTCAGGCTAACGTTAAATCAACATCTGACTAAAATCAATTTAAAAACATTAGATTTATCCGACCCACACTTTTCAATGGTGCCACAATTGGAGAATTAGGAAATCTACTCCATATAGTTCCTGCAGCTTGACAGTACGGATCCTTCGTTGTCCGAGGAATTTGATAGAATCACGCCGTTTAAGAAAAAGCCATAAATGATATATTGGTTGATTCAAGGATTTTTTTTCTTCTTATAAAACTTTGTCTTCGTGGTACTAAATGATGCCAACATACATTTTATCAAACACTTCCCACATTCAAGTTTCCCCATTTGTTGCCTTTGATAGGCACTTTCTTGTTGCTAAACCATGTGTAGTCTCAGCAGTCATCCCCTGTGCCTCCTTGTCTCACTGAAAGGCTTCCATCTCCAGAGAGGAGGATGCTTTGTGTTTGCCCTCCACCATTTTTGACTGGCAGATGAAACGTTGCGAAGTGTGTGTGTGCACGGAGAGCTCAGCGAGCAAAGAGGAGCAATGAGTACCCTGTTGGAGAAGAAGTGAAGGTTATCTGGTGGCTTTTTGTGACGGCCTGATGAAAAGCGCAGTTCAAAGCACGCACAGAGAAACGGCAGAAGAAGACATATGAACATGTCTAATGTGTATCGCTAACTGTTGTCGGGTATACATCAAGATGTGGCTCTTATTAGGCTTTTTTTTTTTAGTTAGTTAAAAAAGTACATTCTTTATAAAAGTAGCTTTTCTTTGCTGTCTTAGTTGTAAGAAAATACTAACGGCAAGAACAACTAAAACTGTCAAGAGCCTTTTAGACTAATGAACTTTATTACAAGTGATTATTGCGCAACAAATCTCATTGTCGCATCTGTCCTTATGAAATGTGTTCCAAATTACACAGCATTTCATTTACAAAAGTACATTACGCAGGGAGTTTCAGACGCCACGGGAAACGGTAACTCGAGATGTGAAAGGCAGTTGCAGCGCACAGATAATCTTCAGACTACTTGTAATCACATGTTCCATTAAGCTGAATCTGATTGGCATGCTTTAGGACGTAAACAGTGCGCTCGGAGCCGAAGTGGCACCTACTGACAGAGACGGTGATTACTGTAATCAAGGTATTTTTCTCTGAGAAGAGCAGGAGACGAGAGGAGGGGAGGAGGAATGAGACTAGATCAGTTCGCACTGATATTTCATGATGTGTGAGCTCGTGTGTTGGCGTATTTTACACTCTTTCTAGAGTGGAGGACATTTATGTGCATAATATGCACAGGGATAATGATGCGTATGACAAGTAAAGAATCTTGAATACTTGACAGTTTTAGTTTTGTGCTCACAATCATGCCAGTGAACGTCGTCTTTTGGGCTTCCAGAGGTTTACCGTATTTTTTGGCCTCTAAGTCGTAGTTTTTTGCATATCCTGCAACTTAAACACCGAAGTGACGCATTTATGGATTTTTTTCCCCCCATATTTATAAATCAAACTTTGCCTGAGATATGACCGTTTTCATTAATTCTGATTGAAAATATTGAACACTACCATTTTCTGCCACTAGATGGCACCTGAGTTGTATGACATGCTGTTGGGTCGCATAATAGGCAAAAGTGGCTATTAATGACACAATCAGCTTGCCATATTATGCTTCGTCCAGCTCGCCTGGAGCAACCAAATCAGCTTCATTTTGTTGCACCGCCCCTGCAAAATGCAACTAATTTGACCATTGAAGTGCATTTATTACATAAAAGTTCAGCGGAGACGCACGTTTACTATAATGTTGAGCAAACAAATAATTGTTTTTAAATGTTAATCTTGGTAAATTCTTGTTAAAGACCTCCTGTACATGCTCCCGCGGCCACCATTTGGCAGCCAATCGATTTTTGGCTTAACACCGGCTCACCGGCGGCTGTGGCTGAGCGGTTAGAGCAGTCGTCCTCCAATGCAAGTGTTGAGGGTTCGAATCCACCAGCAGTCACATGCTGAAGTGTCCCTGGGCAAGACACTGAACCCCTTGTTGCCTCCAATGTGTGTCCCATCGGTGTATGAATGTGATAAATCATTGATTAGTCTCGTTAGAATTTGTTCAATTAGCTTTGTAGAGATCTAGTAGAGTGCTGTATGAACGGGTAAATGAGGCACAGATTGTGTTGTAAAGCGCTTTGAGTATCTCAATAAGATAGAAAGGTTCTATATAAGTACAGTCCATTTACTATTTCCGGGTTGTCGGCTGTGACGCGTAACAAACGTGATGCGTCAGCGGTGAAACAATGTATTTATGGATTTTCCACTTTATTAGACATATTTGGGTTGATGTAACTTATAGGGCGGTGCGACGTGTACGGCGGAAAATACAGTAATTGTTGTGCGATGATTGTGGCCAGACGGGTATGAAAAAGCTCCTTTGACTGGGGTTGTATACAACTACTGACATTCCCCCTCACAAACACTTTCTATTAGATTCCTTCACTCTCACTTTATGAATCCAGCTCACCCTGGTTCTGATGGGATCTCCCAGTTCCCCCCTTTATTACCATGCAGCCTCCCCCCCCCCCCCAGTGGATATGGGTCGGTACCGGCCTTGGTAATTGATCCCTCTGGGCCCTCTAAACACATCCAGCAGTGGGTTGAACAGAAATGCAGCTAAGAAGACAGCTGCTTGGCCGAACCATGCAGGCTGATGGAAAAGGAGAAAGATAAAGAAACCCTGTTGATGCTAACTGTTAGCGTCCTCAACAGGGAGCACATTGTTTCGACTTGAAACATTTAAAGTTCTTCATTTTAGAAAAGAAGTTAGTCTCGTTGAAACAAGACACAAACAAAAGTGAGTCGAGCCTGTGTTTTAAAGTTCTTAGAATAAAACTGAAGGTTTGGTGATTAGTCAAGTAACGGGTCTTAACTTCTGCTAGCAAAGAAGAGACAAGGGGTTCCAGGTCATTTCTGCCGTATTGCACTTTTGCAACTTAGTTCTTTTTGTAGCTATATATCTTGGATAAGTAAAGAAGTTGTTAGCCATAAATCTTTTTGTAGCCAGCCTGGCAGCTGCCCCAATCTACTTTAGAACTGAGCCATTTTAGATCAGTTTTAATAATGTTACTAGCTTAATGCCCAGGGACTGATGTTTTTATTTAATTAATTTTTTTTTATAATCTCAGATCTCAGGAAAGGGCAGCACAGTGGCGCAGTTGGTAGAGCTGTTGCCCCGGTTCAAATCCAGTAATGGTCAGTTAGGTCACCTGGATAGTTTTTTTGTGGAAAGAGGTTTCACCTCCATCTGGAGGGCTTCGTCAGTCTGAGGAGTCCCAAGTAAATTGTTTCCCCCAGGAGTGTACTGCTTAGTGGGGAAACTGTTTACTTGGGACCCTCAGACTGATGAAGCCCTCCAGATGGAGGTGAAACCTCTTTCCACAAAAAAAACTATCCAGGTGACCTGATTGACCATTATTGGATTTTGTACCTGGATGATTCAGCATGAACTTTGATGAACCGGTTCAGATCCCAGTCCGGGGACCTTTCTGGGTCGAGTTTCCATGTTCTCTCCATGCATGCGTATGTTTCCTCCCACAGACTAAAAACATACATGTTAGACTGACTGGTAAATGTGAATATTTGTTTGTCTCTGTGTCCCTGTGATGGACTGGAGACCTGTCCAGGGTGTTTTCAGACTGAAGGAGACAAAACATTTCATTCAACAAACAAGAATCTGACCTGACTTAACCTTGTTAGACCAGTTTAAGCTTTTGAGAGATGTAATGTAAGATTGTGGGCTATTCATTGTCCGTCATATTGGTGGTCTTGAAGAGCTTATTTACTGGTGGTTCTCATAAAAAGAGCTTTGGTGAGTCCTAATTGAGGAGCACTGAGTTGATTAATGACGGGACTAAAGCATGATGCTCATCAATCCCAGTCTGCACTGACTGAGTCTGATCAGGCTCCGCCCATCATTTATAGCCATCCTCAAATTTAAGAAAAGTTTGTTACTAACTTGTGTCGAATATCACCTCTGAGAAGAAGAATTATCTTTTTTAACATTTCCACAAGAAATGACAAATTCTAAAATGAGATTAATATACAAAAGACAGGACGTGGGTGAATAAGTGTTCAATTTTATTTTCCTTGCAGATAACATACAACCAATTAGTCCAACAAAATGGAAATATTAAATGAAGGAATGTCAAAGATTTAAGTCAAGTAAAGCAAATGGCATATGATTGAGGAAAACGGGAAACAGAGTAGTTAAGGGATTAAAATGTATTGCTCAACTCCAATTAATCTATTGGAAAATGACATTTTTCTGTTCTGCTCGCATGCATCACACTATTTAAAGATTAATTAGCCAAGCATCAAAACATTGTATTTAAACACATTCAGCATTGGTTGGTGTTGGTGGTGATATGATGATGAAACCATTGGATTTGATAACCATAGCGCCTTCCCCTCTTCCTCTCTCCTCTCAGGCTCTATGACGCGACAAGAGTTCCCCTCGACACTCTTGCACTATGGAGAGCACTGACGACCCTTTGACAGACAGCCAAAATCCACCAACCACCACCAACACAGCCGCTCCACCCAAACCCTGGTACCACAAAGCCAGGACACAAGCAGCTATCGACCACCGAGAGCCCAACTGAGGCAGCAAGGTACAACTAAACACCCTGAATCTAAACGTCCCCTGATCTCAGTGAAACCAGTTTGATAAACAGGGATTTAAAAGGAAGATTAGTTTAGGGCTTCTTGATGTTGTTAAATCTGCTTAAAGCCATCACAAAATGCAAACGCTATCCTTCAGCTTTCGTAGAAAATTCAGCAACGTGAAGCGTTGAATCACAAGCTGTCACACATGCTTGGTTGATACGTGAATCTGGCTTCCTCATTTTTCCATAAACTCCCAGATTTCCCTTGTGTACGTTTATCCACAGAAAATCTGTGTGCGTCGAAGCCAATAAGAAATGTCATAATTTTAGGTTTATCTCCTGCTTTTGCCCCGTTTTATTGGCCTGCCTTATATTTTGTCTTTAAAGTACTGTGTCAGATAGCATCTGTGCACCCAAATAAAACAAGGCGCCAGACACACACTCATATTATACATGTGACTGGGAAACAGAGTAGCCATGTAGTAAATTTAACGTCCGATGCAATAAAAGGGATGCGGCCAAAGCCATAAAGATGCCACTATTATAGAGTTTTTGAAAACCAGGCTCTTCTGTTGGTCAATACGGTCAGCATTTATGGCTCATGTTATAATTCGCTTGTGAGGGAAGATCTGATCCTGCTGCTTTTCAGTCCAGGCCGCGAGTCTACAGCTGGTCTGAAAGTATATATTTATACAGATACAAGGCAGAATTCATGTTGTGAACTCTAAGGTAGTTGCCCAGAGTGTGAAAATAATATTTATAGGCAGAAACAGGCGTCTAAGGTTTCAACATTAGTCGGTGCATAGAGCCGAGTCTAAAGTTTACAACTTTTTTCAGGGTGGAATGACTATACAACATACAAATGTTAATATTTTTGAAAAACAAAAATTATGTGCACAAGTTTACAGCCATTGTGAATTTTCTCTAATCTGCAGTGTATAGGCTCCATACCTGCACCCCTGTCTTCTGTCATGTTGCACCTCCACCAGCCATCGATGCGTTTCTGGCTGGATATTGGACCGCTTTGGTCAAAATTGGTCGAGTTCATTTAAATCTGTTGCTTTCCCAGCACAGACTGGTTTTTAAACATGGTCTTCCCAATTTTGAATTGAGTTGAGTTTGAGGTTTTAAAGCGGCTGTTCCAGGAAATCAGCGTCACTGGATCAACCATACACAAGTTGATTTGAGATGGTGAAAATTTTCAAGGTTCTCCTCCACCTTTATTGTTTGTTATTATTAGGTCTGTCACGATAACATATTTTGCTGGGCGATTAATTGTCTCAGACATTATTGCGATAAATGATAATATTGTTTGAAATTAGACAATAATTGTTAATTTTCAAATTTAAGAAGACATGTTTAATTTGTTTTGTGTTTGGTACTTTTTTTGACCACTGGATGGCAGTATAAGACTGTTTGAACCGAAGGATGGATAGTGAGGGAGCGAGCAGTGTGTTTCTTAAAGAAAAATGTGAGGGAGGCCTCTTCATGTGACATGGGCTGTCTCTCGTTCCTGCTTTTTGGTTGTCAAAATGGCGGACGCTCTGTGTGGTTTGAGCTCTTTAGCAGCTTGTTTTTGCAGAGAAAACACTTTTTACACAAAAAAAAAGGTTTCATTCGTGAATTTTGGAGGTCCCCCCCAGGTCGGCCTGTTAGCTTAGCTCGTAGCTTAGCTGCTTTTAGCGAAGAGAGAAGAAAAGAAACTGAATATGAGGTCGATAATTTCCATCTATCATGTGATTAACTGATTTATTGTGTATCGCCACAGGCCTAGTAATTATCTACTTTGTGGACCTCTGGCAGCTCAAGCAGCCCCATAGCATGATGCTGACACCTCTATGCCAAACAGCTGGAACTGTCTCACCCTGTCTCTTTCAAACACTTGTCTTGTTTGACCATCAAACCTTTTTGGAAGGCATTTTTATTCTCAAAGTGGGCAGCAGAAATTTTCATTTAAGGTGTTCCTTTGTGAGCTGTGGCTTCTTTCGGCTCTCAGCCAAAGCCAGAATGAAGCTCCGTTCACTGTGGATGGTGACACTGGTGTTTCAGCAGTTTCTAATTTATGGCAACCTTGTTCCTGAATGTCCTAATCAGTTCCCTTTTATTTGAGGATGGCAGATGAAAAGGAGTCCAATGGTTTCTGCCAACCAAATCCTGTTTATGATGGCATAGACAGTCTTTAACTTCAATCATGATAAGATCTAGATGAATGTGTGGTTTAGAGAACATTCACAATAAATGTAAAGTTGTGCACCAAGTTCTTGCTTTCAAACTCATTAATGTTTGTTTGATATTTACACCCAATTACACACCTACCGGCCTCCTGCAGCTTGTGAAAGACCATATAGTATACAGAACCGTGGTCACCAGTACCTTCTGGCATATGGCACTTAGATGATCACATCCCGAAAACAATTGGTTCAAAACAATAAATTGCTTACAAGCCCACGGTGAGTGGATGTAAACTTCTGACTGCAGTTTCATTGTCTGAACTCTTCATATTAAGGGAAATGTTTGCAACATTTCAGGCACCGTGTTTATATTTTAATACCAATCAGTGACATTTTGTTGTAGGCACCATTGTGGCTAAATGTGTTCTAATGTTTTCTCTTAGGCATTAAATTCTGATCTTTTTGTAGAATGCAGATTGTGAAATGTTTACTTTGATGTTCTGAAGAGATTCAGTATGAAAGAGCTGATAATGACACAACACTCCAGATATAGCTTTGAACTCCCTCCTAATGGAAACAGAGACTAGTGTCTGTAGGCCCGTTCATACATGGTTGTGAATTTTGATCTTGGCATCAGCTTCAGGCATTTTCCAACTTCACAGCATGTAATGAGCAATTTCCCGTCTCTTATTAACCTACCAGTTCTCTCATGAATATTCATCTAGAAGACTATTGTGCAGCATGTTTTGTTATGGTCTAAGAGATATGAACAAATGTAGTGGTTGATGTGAAAGGTAGGGTCAGATCTTAAACAATAGTCAGTTGCATGTTTGTATTGTTTATGTCAAATGAGGAAAAATGACTTCAGAGAGCCGGTGAAGATCTTCGGTCCTTCATGCCTGTTTATTCACACATTTGCCATGGCTTTCAGTGATCTGACATTTTGAATGGAGTCAGAAAGAGTTCACACAGAGGAAATGTCAAGGCCACATGTTTGGCGCAGTCACTGCCTTAACTCCTGGACGCTCCACATGTGAGAGGAGTTTTCTTTTGCTTGGGAAAGTTGGTCTGCATGTATAGTTCAAATGTACAACTTTGAGTGGTTACAGCAGTCGTCCTTCAATGGGAGAGTTGGGTGTTTGACTTTGAATCCACCACATGCCCAAGTGTCCCTGGGCAAGACACTGAACTCGTCATTGCCTCAGATGTCCCATCGGTGTACGAATGGGTAAACGAGGGCACAGATTTTAGTTTAAAGTACTTTGAGTGTCTTATAAGATAGAAAGGTGCTATAAGTACAGTCCCAGCTAATGCATGAAAGTTTATGGATTCCTGAAATACAATGTTGTCCATGGTCAGATTCTCAGTATGTATCGAGAGGACTGTTCAAATTACACATTAGCACAGATGAGATCTATCCATGACTCAACAGCGTCATCTTCTTTCTGGCCTGTTGGGTGTTGAAAATGGTTGCAGACATTGGTAAAAAACAAAAAAAAACAATTGAAAATTGATTGGTTGTGTTGAGAACACAGTCAGTTTATTTTTCTTGCACAATTGAGAATCTTTAAAGTTCCATAAAAATCCACTTACAAGGCAGAATGAAAAGCTTTTAATAAGAAAAAAAAAGTATAACTGTTTAGCTCTTCTCTCCAAACATTGTAATTCCCCACATCCTTTTTAGGATTCTAGTTTTATTTCAGCAGCTGTCTGGACTCCTGCTTTGTGACATTACCTGGAAAACAAAAATACAAGTTGATGTTATTTTTCTAGGAATAAATTGTTCATGATTTGAAGCCCCGGAGGACCAGCATGCTGGAGTAAAAATCAGACACTGACAATTGTACTGAATCACTCCAAACCTAAATGTTGTGATTGAATTAACAAGCAGCTGCAGTTAGTTGCTTGTGTAGCAGTAGTGTGTAACATTGTTCAAATGTTCAGGTTCTGCATCAAAACGAGTCACCTGAGGCAGTTTATACTTGATTAGGACATTCTGATTGTCTCCTTTGGGAAAGTTGTTGGTAATATTTTGTTTGGAGTAAGACAGAAATGGAGGGAACACATTAATATCCTTGAGAAAGCTTCAGAGTTGAGGAGAGTGTGATGGGGAGCTAATGAATGAAGAGCAGAGGTTAGATACTGTAGAAAAAATTAGTAAGGATCAAGAATGGGAAGGCACTAGGACATACCAGTGTCAGATTGGAAATATCTTGGAGACATGGCAGAGAGGTTTCTGACTCAAATATAATGAGAATGTGTTTCCCATTTAAGAACAAGGGTGATGTATAGAGTTGTAGCAACTAGAGGGGAATGAGCCACACAATGAAGATCTGGGAGAGTGTTGTGGAATAGACTTAGATGAGGTGACTGTGATGAGCAGTATGGTTTCATGCAGAGAAAAAGCACCACATATGCCATCTTTGCTTTGACGACCAAAAAAGGTTTGTCTTTCATTTGTATAGTACACCTTTACTTTTGCGTTGGTACAATTCCTATTTTCAGTTCCCCTTTAATATGAGAACCTGTTTTGGGCAGCTATCTTAGTAGTACAGTTTTGCTGATATGTTTATTATTCCCAAAGCATAGGACATTGTCATCTGTGAAACATGATAGTACTCTATTCAACACCTGCCCCTTTTATGGCAAATTGCATCATCAACAGTTCATTATTATGAATTAGGTTCAGTGGCACTGCAGTGCACTTGGAAGGGATTGGTACCTCAGTCAAATGAGCTGTGACTGGCAGAGGCCGTCTGATAGATTTGTAGTGTTTTTATAGTATCTGCTCTGTTACACTAGTACTAGCACAGGAGCAATAAGTAAACACGATACTAATGTGTGAGATAAAAACATGCCCCTGTGGCATATGGTTAATTCAAGACGAAGCAGTGCTTTGTTTTCCAGATGCATTCATATTTGATGTGTGTCAGGTGTCAACTGTTGCATTCTTTAGGTATGGTTTAATTGGAATTATGTTACAACATGTCCTAATAGGTGAAAAATGGTCATTAAGTTGATATGTGGAAGAATTAAAGTTTTCAGCAGTAAGGCCTTTCTTTTCTTTTCTTTTTGCTGTTGACTGTAAACATTTGGATTTTATGAAACAAGAGCGATAGTGATATTTTGTAGCTGAACATGAATTATTCAGGATAGCAAAAGTAATGAAAAAAAATCTTGTATCTAGTTACAAATCCTTCGCTCACAATGTTCGTGGCATCCCTAGCAGGTAAAGAGCAGCTGTATAGAGTTTGAGCCTTGAGTGAACGCCTTTTGTTGTTTATCTAGCTGCATGTTTCTCTGGATTACAGTGCATCTGCAAAGTATACACAGTACTTCACATTTTGTTATGTTTATAGCCTTATTTCAAAATTTTATTAAAAACAGAAAATAAATCACATTTACATAAGTATTCACAGCCTTTGCCATGAAGCTGAGACCACTGATGCTCCTTGAGATGTTTGTAGTCTACCTGTCCCACAGTTGACAGTGCATGTTAAAGCACAAACACCAAGTAAAAGGAATTGAAATAAAATTTTGTTGCGACAAAAATCTGGGAAAGAGTAGAGAACTAACTCTGCTGTGACGAAGATCCCAATGAGCACAGTGGCCTTCATCATTTGTAAATGGAAGATGGTGTAACCCTCTAGATAACTTGTCGGGGGTGTGTTAGTATGAGGGAAGACACTGGTTTTAGCTAGCTTACTGTGCCTACATGTGGTTTGGGTGGAAAAGCTGGCCGGCCATCAGAACTGAGAGGCTGTGAATACTTAAATGTGAAATATTAGTTATCTGTTATTGTGAATAAAGCTGCCATCAATACTTGCCAGAAGCACTGTAAATGTCAAACTAGCTTCTTAGTAAAACTGATTTGCAAAGTCTGGCGTCAGCACATTGTTGATCAAGTATTCTCTGAGAAATAGATACTAGTATCTGATGATACTGCTCCTCAAAGTACTCCTTCCCATCACACTCTCCTCATTTGTAAGAACATTCCTATCTTTAACAACCTGCTGCACATATGCCAAACTATTGATCATTTGCTTTCTGCATTGCCTTAGCTACCTCCCTCTTTGCTTTACGTCGCATTCCTGTGTCCCTTCTTGGCTAACCTCTTTCTTTGAACAGCTTCCACCACCTGGTTTCTTTATCATCCATTCTCTGTCCAGATGACACCAAATACCAGTCTCTTTAATTACTGTTGCTGTAATAATAGTCATTCATTTGGGAGCCTTTCACTGCTACTTTTTTAATTCCTCATAACATTCTTCTTTCCTCAGCTTCCACTCTTCATAACAAGTCATTCTACACATAACCATCCAATGCTGTCTGGCCACAATCTTACAGTCCCCCTTCCTCCACTCTGTCATCTTATGGAGATATAAGTGTTGACTACATGTTGACTCATGTGGAAAAGAGTCGCCGCAGTGATTCCTCACTCGAACTACCTCCATATATATATGTCTCTTTGGCCTTCCTCTGTCCTGTCAGATGCATTTCTAACATCCCTCTACCAATATTCCTCCTATTACAGGTACAGCAAGAAGGTCCTAGAGTCTTTCTGTGTGGTTTTTTTCCCCACTGACCAAAAACATGCATGAGACGCTACCTTTAGGCCTTTCTTGCTGCCACTTCTTACCCCTGTCTCTGTGTTGTAAACTTTTACGCCACCTTTTTGTCACAAAGCACTCGGTCCTGCCTGGACTCTCTTTTCCCCATTTTCCTGGACAGTGGACCCCAAGTATTTTATGACCTATGCTCCTTGTAGCCTCACTGATCCACCTCCTCCCTCTCATTCACACACATACTCCGTCTTACTACGGCTGAATTACATTCCTCTTCAAGTTCTCTTCCACAGATCATAGTCCACAGGGACTTGTCTGTCCGTGCAAAGAGCAAATCCTTGTTGCGCTTCCACCTTCAAGCTATCTGTCATTCCTACAGCACATCTCACCGCCTATTTGTATGCTTTTTCTAAATCCACAATGGAGTTCTTTCTGACACGATGTTCTTCTTTATCAGCGTGTCTAAGTCTAGCTTTGACAGTTCTCTTCCAGATCTTCATTGTATGACTCATCAATTTATTCCCCTGTGGTTGCTATAACTCTATAAATCACCCTTTGCAATTAAGTATATTGATTGGGTTCTTTAAAAAAAAAAGGGCACCAGCACGCTTCTCAAATATGGTTTAAGTCAAAAACCTCACTCCAAACCTCCACTTGTATGTCATCAGGAACTACTGCCTCCCCTTCTTCATTCTTTTCAAATTTTTCTGGACTTCACCCTCGCTAATCTTTCCAACTTCCTGGTCCACAGTTTCCTCCAGTTTTATGCTCTCCTCACTTGAACATTACTAAACCTAACTTGCTGCACATCCTGTCCATACTGCTTTGCTTTTGCTACCTTGCTCTACTGTGCATAGCATCTCCTTACATTCCTGTCCTCACTAACCTCTTTCTCTGAATAGCTTCCAGGGGTCCCAGAGGCACCTGTACCCAGGGCAGGCATTTCCCTAATCCACCACCAAGTACCACCTTCCTACCTGTCTCTCTAATTACTGTTGCTGTAGTAGCCAAGTGATCAGGAAATTCTTACCACCCAGAGACTGTTAATTCCTCATAACATTCTTGCTTCCACCGTTGCTCTTCTTTCAATGCTGTCTGGCCACGGTTCCAACTGCCACAACCTTACAGTCCAGAATCTCCCTCAAGTTTCCTCTTCTACACAGAGTGTAGTCTACCTGCATACTCCTATAGGAAATCCACCACCTGGTTTCTTTCACCAACATGTCTGTTCAAGTCTACTCCAATCACAACTCTCTGTGAAGCAAAACCACTGATAAACTTTAGCACGATATACATCACACTGTTTGACACTCTTTTCACATCTACTAGATTCTTTGCCAGCTCCTCCTTCAAGACCACCCCTACTCCCATTTTTCTTTCTGTAAAACAGTTTAAACCCGAGCGTTCCACTTGGTCTCTTGGATACATAAAACATGTCAGCCAGCTCTACCTTTGCCTGTTATTGTGCTCACATTTAGAGTTGCCACCCTCAGTCCTACTTTCTTGACTTTCCTCTTCACCCTCTCTCCTAACACGTTAACCTGAGCCTCAGCTGATCTGATATGGTGTCGGTTTAATAAGCTAGCATTATATTTTTGGCAAAACTTATGTCAGATACCATTCCTGGCACAAGAGATACTCTGACTACCTAGTGGCTGGTTACATGATATAATAAACATGTTAACTTAATATGTCATATTTGACTGCATGGTCGGTAACTTACCTCTTGACTTTGTTTTTGTTGATTTTCAGGTCTCATAACAGCCAGAGAAGTCCAAACCGGGGAGTGACTGGACTCTCCTGCTGTCTGTCACTGGGTCAACGCATCGTGCCCTCCTCGTCGCCACTGCATCTGCCTGCTCTGTGAAATTAGCAGTTCATGCCACGGAGGACGGGACACCTTCAAGCTCCACGAATGGCTTTTGTCATTGGGACGTCTTCTCTTTGGAGCTGCTTGCTGCATTAAATAAGGAATTTCTAGAATCTTTATCCAGTGCAGTAGTTCCAGAGTAGAGGTGGGATCGTCACAGACCAAACCCTGTTGGAAAAAAGAAGCAAGCTGTGAATAGGCCTTCTGCTGGAGGAAACCTCCCATATTTTTATAGACCAAAGAGCAAAATAACATTTACAGCAGAGAGAAGAATCTCAATATTCTTTGTGTCACCGCCACGAAGACCGTCTCTACAAGAAAAGCGCACGATGACTATGTGGCTGACAAACTTATAAAACCTTCAAGACTTCCCCCCCCCCTCCAACTAAGTCCACAGCTGTATTTTGAGACTGGACGTATCGGTACTCCAAAAGTTTCACAGTGTATTTGGGGGGTCAGATTTGCATTTTCAGTAGCTATGTTTTGACTGCTAACAGGAAGAATTAGAGTGATCATGGAATTCATATCAGAGAAAAGAATGCATATTTACAAAATGTATGTACGCTGACGGAGGAGAGAATTGCCATTTAATGTATTTTGAAAGGCCCTAAAAAGTTATATATTTAACAGTTTTATATGTTGTACCTTTGTAGAGAAGCTTGTTGGACTTAAATGTGGTCACAATGGCAGTTTAGTAGAAAGTGAACAAATGCTGTTCCCATTCCTGCTGGCTCGTAGTCCCTGGTTTTCTGTTCACACCTCAGTAGCCGTTTTCTTTTCATGGTCATCTACAACACCGTCCATTAGAAACATGGAAAAAAGGAAAGTGACAATTTATAAAGGACTGATCTGCAGCCAATAAAACATTGTAAATCTATGGTAGTCAGTGCAAGCCATTGAAATCTGCTAATTTGCTATGATATTGTATCGTACACGATGTGGAATACTGATTCATTTCCTCTGAGCTCTTTATTTATTTTCGTGCTTGTGTTTGTTCGCACAGATCCAGCCACTCTACAAAGGCGATGGGGAGAGTGGGAGAAATAGCACTGCAAAACAGTCATATAAATACATTTTTTTATCATGAAATATTTTAAGAATAAATTAAATACATGAAAAAAGTGGTGCCCTTGAAAAGTAAATGTCAAAGGTTTTTTTTTATACATGCATTTCCTTTAACAGGTTTTAGATTATTTGAACATGCTAGCATCTTATTTTTGTCTGAAGTCACTTTAACAAATGAGTTTAAAGGTAGCAGTGGTTTCATTTAGCCTAAAACTGATTTACAAAACAGGAAGCAGATTTCCCATCTCTACTTAAACCAGTTTGCTTCCCTACCCTAGACTTTGGATTATTCCTTGAACCGCTGTTAAAGCTACATTACATGGTCTTGTTTTATTATTTCACTACAAGGAGTTGAGGAAATATTTTATTAAAAGTGAATCACAAGTATCTCCTGAATATGTTTGAGATTTTCATTTGATTAGGATAGTAGCTAATGTCGGACAGAGCCCTGGCAGCTGCACTAGTTACATTATTTTACCAGTATACCCACTTGTATACCATTGCCTCCACTAAGGTACCAACTACCTTCCTTTTCATCATCCTCAGTGCACACTTTATATGATTACATTTAATATAGCTGTGGTAAGAAGGGCTTTGAACAACCTTGTTTTATTGACGTATTTCTGTCTTGGTGCGAGTTCACTCACATGGTGACCTGTCGAGAAGACGACTGCTGAAAGAAGACGACTGCTGACGTCTTACAACTAGTCTCAAAACGATTGGTGCAAGAACCATCTCTGTTCATTTTACATTGTTTGTTAAGAAAATGATTTGTGCCAGAAAGAACTTATCAAGTTTTTAAGTTAATTCCATTGAAAATGGCTTTGATTCAACCGATTTTACAAATATTGTGCCAAAATGGACAAGCTTTATTGAAACTTTAGAAATTATCAAAAGGGATGGCACAGCAAACCTGATCTTTGTCAACACAAACATTGCAATCACTTAGTCAAAATTATACATAATAAGATGACTTATCAAGAAATAATACATCAATGTTAAATTAAAAGTCTGACAAAACTTACAGGAAAAGGAAAATGACACATACTATAGTATGACTTCCAAACAGGTGAAAAAAGACACATACTATATAGTATGACTTCTAAAATGGTGAAAAAAGACACATACTATAGTATGACTTCCAAACTGGTGAAAAAAGACACATACTATAGTATGACTTCCAAACAGGTGAAAAAAGACACATACTATAGTATGACTTCCAAACAGGTGAAAAATGACATACTAGAGTATGACTTTTAAACAGGTGAAAAAGGACACATACTATAGTATGACTTCCAGTCATGTTTCCTGTGTCATCTGTCAATGTGTGTCTAGTTAATCTCATTATTTTCTCTCTCTAAACAGCTGATCGCCTGACAACGGTTCAAAAGGACCAACTTCTGTCTGCTGAACGAGCGAGGGAGGCCTGAGGAGAAGTTTTACTGATGGTTGTTGGTTTTCTTTTCCAGCCTTGCTCCCGCTCCTGTCAGAGATACCTGTGGTTGTTGCACCTCTTATTGTTTTGTTGTTGGGACTGGGAGTTACCCGTTTAGTTAAAGTTAACGGTTTTTGGTTGTAGGGTTAATCCCTGGATCATATGGCGAATGGGAGCAGCATGAATCCAACAGTCAAATGCTGCCTGGTTCGTGGCTTCTCCCAACCATTTTGTTTTGTTTTAGCAGGGGCTCCCACTCTGCATTTATGTTCAGATGATTTGTTGACCATTAAAGTTTTGTCTAAAACTATACAATCGTCTGGACTTTATATTTTGTGCGTCCTGCCACTTACTCCTGAACTTATCAGGACTATAACACTTCCAAAGTGGTAAACAATGACACATATTATAATAGTATGACTTGGAAACTGGTGAAAAATGACTCGTACTATAGTATGGCTTACAAACTAGTAAAAACTTTAACAACTATTTTTGAACAACTATTGAGCTATATTTTGGTTGTGTCATAGTCTTTTCTTTTCTTTTGCATGTAATGCAGCAGAAAATATTTATTCTTCCAACAAATGTCATTTATGCTAGCTTGTGTTAAACTTCCTGCTTTAATACCCATCTAATATAAACTTGGCAGTGGTTTATTACATTTCTGAAAATGTGTTTCCATGAACCGCTATGAACATTTTGAGATTTGAGTTGTTTTAGCAACAATCCACTTTGGTCTTGGCTTTACTTTACCTAGCTTTTTGCTCATCAATCCAACCAGAACTCCAAACTGGGGTCACTTAAAAAGACCATCTCATTTCAGTCTTTACACAGAATTATTTTTAAAATGATCTGAACTTACCCCTCAAAAAAGAAGTATAATGCTGCTCAGTCCTTTTTTACCTTGGCTATCAATGTATATAAATGTTAGTTGTTCTTTTAGGGTCTCATGGAAAGGCATGTATCAGTGTTTAAACCATTGCATGTCTCAGTTTGGTGCTTTTTTAAAATTTTTAAGTAAAACACCTGCAGAGACGAAGAGAAAGAAGCAGCAAGACTCTCTAGAACCAGCAGTAAACCCTTAGGGGAAAAGATTCTCGCTTCATTTTCAGCCCAGACACAGTATATCTGTGAAATACCAATACTGCATTGCACTGCACAAAATATTATTATTCCCTTTGATAGATAACATTTACCTGCTAATTCACATTTCATACTGCGAGTCTTTGTTTACAATATAAATCTGATTAAGTGCAGCCATCACAGCAGAAGTTGGATCGATACACAATATGGCCAGCACAGCTGCTTACCTCACAAGGATGCCTTCCCCTGCCAATATTTTCAGCCCATAAAATGGTTCAGATTCTCAGTGTGACCAGTAATCTGTGGGGGTTAGAGCAACAAGAGAAAACATTGTCTCAGTGGGTGACATGTTTGCTACAGAAGGGAAAAGAAAATCTGCCATGCCCTTAAATGTTTTCAACATCTTTGAGAATCAATGCAGATAATTGCCTTTTCCCCCCTTTCTACTAAAAATTCTAGCTACAATAATGTAGCAAAGAGCTCCTAAAGGATGTTGCTTTGAATCTAGGAACTCTAATTAGAGCAGTTTTTCAGCAGTAGAGTTACGTTGACCTCACTGGCCCTGTTTGTAGTTTGACATATGAAAATGTGAGGCTAAACTCCAGAACTTCTCTGCCTTTACTCCCCCGATCAACCTCTCTGTGGTGAACAGTTCATTGTCAGCTGGGCGTTCAAGCTCCATTTAACTTTAACTGCCTTTGGTCGTTATGGCCGCTCATTAACGCTGCAGTGCTGCTGGTGAAAAGACCAGAAAGAATGCAGGTGAAACAGCTGAGGGCAAAACTGTCCTCCATACAGGACTGTCCGTCGACGTGCTTCTGATAGCTTGATTGTTCTTTAATTAATGGCATAAACAATCTTAAAAGAATGCTATAGCAAGTTTATTGGTAATATAAATCCTCATTAAAATGCAGACGCCTGTAATTATTTTAGAACCTTTGTATTTTGGTCTAAATAGAGGAAAAACATCTTTGAAGCAAAATAAGTCTTATGCCCTCATCTCTCGTGGGCATTTATCCATGGAAGTGTAGGGGTTGAAGTTGCTTTGGGAAGCTGTATAGAGGATTTTTCAACAAGTAATTCATTTTCTAAACCTATATTAACACAATAGTGTTAAAACTTTCAAAGTAAAGTTTGTCATGAATCTGACTGACAACATGACACAAACTATAATATAACACTATGCAGTGGTCCTTGAGGGCCAGTGTCCTACATGTTTGAGATGTTTCCCAACAACCACACCTGATTTCAAAGAAAAGAGTGACAAAAGACCTCTGCAGAAATCTAAGACCTGCTGAGGAGCAGAGAAACAACTACAACATGCAGATCAACA